CTTTAGGGACCTAACTTCTTGGGAGTTGCCTTTTCTACAAGGATGGTTGATTGGTCAAAGGCAGGCTGCTGTCCCTTCAATGCTTCCTGTTATTGGTGGTAGTCATGAATGCTCAGCTCCCCACATGGTTTCTTCCTCAACATCTCATCTATCTACTAGCAATCTCGAGGCCGCTGTAGCTTCTTTAGCGATCCCTGGTGGCATCAGTTTATCTGGTGTTCCTGGAAGATCTGGCTCACGGAATAGTGCTTCACGATCTCGCTTCTCTGTTTCTGGAGTGGGGGAAGGTCCTGTTCTCACCAATACACTAAACGATGCAACTGATCATCAACCAATCATGAACAGAATACAGTCTGAATTGTCTACATCTCTGGCTGCTGCGGAGTTGCCTTGCACTGTGAAGCTCAGAGTGTGGTCACATGATATTAACAACCCTTGTGTTCTGCTCAGTTCTGAAAGATGTCGCTTGACGATACCTCATGCTGTCCTTTGCAGGTAATGGTTTTGATTTTCTTCTTGTTTTGTTGTTTGGTTTAATAGTTTGATTGAATGGCATCCTAGAACAATCCTTTGCATAAGCGTGTTTACAATGTCTTAGGTGTTTGACGTTCTCATTTTAAAACCTGTGTTCAGAAGTTATTAGTGGAATCACTTGTATCTTAGATGCATTAAAGTTAGCCAAGTCATTCTTGGTCTTTTCTTTCGCAACCTATTAGAGTTAGCTTCTTGTAAATGTTATATCATTGGTTTGATAATGTGTTTGCAGTGAAATGGGTGCACATTTTTCTCCATGTGGAAGATTTTTAGCTGCATGTGTTGCTTGCATGCTTCCTCATATGGAAGCTGATCCTGGATTGCAAACATTAGCCAATCAAGATCTTGGGGCTGCAACGTCCCCAACTCGACATCCAATCTCAGCCCATCAAGTCATGTATGAGCTTCGCATTTATTCCCTCGAAGAGGCAACGTAAGATTCCTTTACAATTCTTATTGTTCATGCAGCTCTTCTCTATACTTTGGATGGCATCTTATATTCTTGTTTATGCATTTATTCTATTGGCGCAGTTTTGGTTCAGTGCTTGTATCACGGGCGATAAGAGCTGCTCATTGTTTGACTTCAATTCACGTATGTGGGATTCAATGATAATTGTACAACTATATATCCTGGATGGACTTTTCTGTTGAA